TTCTTTTTTGGTCATGTCTGTTTGGGTATCTAAATGTCTCATATACTTGGATATCCATTTTTATTCTATAATTTCATTGAATAAGCTTTCTGTGCTTCTAGTCTGTATCTTGGTTCTCTCTTCTATACCATAGATTCCTACAGTTGGTCTCTTAATCATACCACAGAGGTCTTAGATGCCGTCTAAGTCATTCTTCAACCTTGTTCTCAATTCCTGATGTTCTTTCTTCTGCCTAATTTAATCTATTAGTGATGCTTTCCATTGAGGTTTTGGGTTTTTTTGTTTGTTTGTTTTGGTTTGGTTTTTTTTTTTGAGCTTTTCATTTCCAGGATTTTCATTTTCTTCGTTCTTTTTTGTTTGTTTTCTCCCCTAGAATCTCTTTGGTGAATTTCTCATCCAAGTTTTTGGCTTCTGCATCCATATCGTCAATTGATGTCTTTTTTTCTTGGCAGCACTGAGGTTTGAACTCAGGGCCTCATCTTTGCTAGGTAGGCACTCTTATTGCTTGAATCACTCCACCAACCCTTCAATTGATTTCTTTACTTCATTTGTTTATTTGAATCCTCCTTAAGGTCATTGATTATTTTTAAAACTAGACTTTTGGGGCTAGGATTGGTATCACATACCTGTAATTCCAGCTACACAGGATGTAAAGATGGGAGGATCTTTGGTACAAGGCCAACCCAAGCAAAAATATTTAGAGTGACCATATCTCAAAAGACAAGCTGAGTATAGTAGTATACACCTATATTCCCAGCTCTGTGAGAGGCAAAGGATTGTGGTCTGAGACTGGCCCCTGGCAATAACAGCATGAGAGACTATCTGAAAAATAAATAAAGTAGAAATGGTCAGGGTATGTGGCTCAAGTGGTAGAGCATCTGCTTAGCAAGTATTATGGTCTGAGTTCAAACACTAGTACTACCAAAATATAGATAAAACTGGACTTTTTGAATTCTTAGGTATTTTAACCTTTTCAGTTGTGGTGTTTGTTTATTTGTTTATTTGTTTGTTTTGTGCTACTGGGGTTTAAACTCCAGGCCTCACACTTGCTAAGCAGATGCTCTGCCACTTGAGCCATTCTGCCAGCTTCAGTGTCTTTGGATTCAGTGATTAAAGAGTTCTGAAGTGGAGGAGCCATGTTACCTTACTTTTTTGTATTTCTTGTGTTTCTACATTGTGATCTGCATCTGTTGGAATGGTTATGTCTCCCAGTTTTATTCAGGGATCTTTTACTGAGCAGCTTTCTCTTGAGGTCTCAGTCCCCAGCACCACTCAAGAGAGAAAACAAACTGCTAAAACAGCAACAACACTGAAAAAAACCAGATACAGAAATACAAATAAAATCAGTTAAAGTCACCTGGTGCCAGTGGGTCATAGCAGTAATCTTGACTACTTGGGAGACTGAGATCAGGAGAATCATGGACAAATAGTTCATGAAACCCCATCTCCAAAATAACCAGAGCAGGCTAGCAGTGTGGCTCAAGTGGTGGAGCACTTGTCTAGCAGGCACAAAGCTCTGAGTTCAAACCCTAGTGCCACAAAACAAAAACAAGCAAAAAAAAAAAAAACCAAAATAACCAGAGCAAAATGGACTGGAGGTGTGGCTCAAGCCATAGAGTGCCTGCTTTGCAAGTACAAAGCCCTGAATTCAAACCCCAGTCCCACCAAAAAAAAAAAAAAAATCAGTCAACTCTATACCACCAATAATAATAGAAAAGAAAATGGGAAGAATAATGTGGAATAAACTGTGAAGTTAAAAAAATTGAGGTAAGCATAATAGTATTAAAGGAAGGAAATAAAGGATGAAGCAGGAAAAGGGGGAAAGGAAGATGCCAGGTTAAATAGAAGAAAAAGAAAAAAGAAAAATAGAGAAAAGAGCAGATTTTTTAAAAATCTGATTGCAAAATGAAAAAATACGTAAGTAAAATGAGATAAACAAGAATAAAAAGTGGCCTGGCATAGTGGTTCACTTCTGTAATCCCAGTTACTCATGAGGTAAAGATCAGAAATTTAGCAAGATCTCTTCTCAGTAAGCCTGGCATGGTTGCACATGTCTGTGATCCTAGCTACATGGAATTTTAGGATCAAGGTAGGAGGCCTGCCTTGGGCAAAAACACAGACCCTACCTGAAAAATAAAGCAAAAAAGGGCTGGGAACATGGCTCAAGTAGTAGAGTGCCTAGTCAGTTTGAGGCTCTGAGTTCAAACCCCAGTACTGTCAAAAAACAGGAATAAAATTGAAAGAATTTTTACAAAATAAACTAAAAACAATACTAAAAGTATAGTACAAAGAAAACATTTTAAAATGACAAAGAATTAAAGCTTTTTCTGGGTCTTCTAATACTGGAACTGCTTGGTTGTGGGGGTGTAGCTGGAGTTGTATTTCCCAATGTTCAGGCTGGTCCTATATGTGGGCTGAGGGCCAGACCAGTCAAGGGTCAGTTGTCAGTTTCAGGCCTTCATTCCCTTTAGAAGTGTCCTTTCTTGCGTATTCATAGCCACTGCCGGCCCCAACAAGCTTTGGGACTTGTGTGCTGGAGAAGATGCCACTCATTCCAGAGCCCCGTTTTTATACCCAGGGTCAGCAAATGTCCAAGCCTAAGGGTGTCCCCTGAGTGTGCTGGCAGGTGACAGAAGTGCACACTGCCTGCGGGTTTCAGTGTTTTCACAACCTACCTAGCATTAAACTACCCTGTGGTGGAGGCTGAAGAAAGCAAGTGATCTGCTGGACCTGGGCTCAGAGCTCTCAGTCCTGCCCAGCAATAAGCATGTATGACAGGAAGGCAGCTTGAAGGTGAGTGACCAGCTGACAATAGACTTGGCGCTCTGTCTCTACTATAATGCTCAGTGATAAAGCTTGCTCCTTGCCACACAGAATGGGACCACTGCCCATCACACCCTCCACGGCCTGAGCTCCCTTGCCTTAAACTCAGCAGGTCTATGTCCAGTCCTCTTCCCCTCCATGACTGCCTGTTGTGGCCGTCTCCCATCCAAGTACTGTGGCAGTGTCCTCAAGCTCCCTGACTTGTGATTATTCTTTGTTTTCAAGTCCTCAGAATAGCTCAGTCTCAAATAAGTTTGTTTCAAGGTGACCCTAGATAGCACTCCAAACATGGACAGTGTTAGAATGGATTTCTTTTCCAATGCTAGCCCACCATACAGTAATCACTGCACACCACATTCCTCCCACTGGATTTAAGATTTGTGAGAACTGGATTTCTTCTGCAGCTAGCACTGCCAGTCCGTTTTCCCCAACCCCTGGCTGGGAGAACCTGGGTTTGGAGTTGCAGGCTGCTTCCTACTTTTCTTTTTTTTTTTTTAAATTATTGTACTGGGGGTACACTGTGAAATTTACAAAAGTGCTTACAATATATCTTAGTTAAATTTACTCCCTCCATCATTCTCTTTTATCTCCCCCCTTCTTTCTTTTTTTCCCCTGCACTTTTCAGCTGTCTTGTCACCTCTTTGGTGATTCCCAGTGGTTTTTTTGGGACTGTGGTTTGAACTCAGGCCTTTGAGCTTGCAAAGCAGGTGCTCTACCCCTTGAGCCACACCTCCAGTCTATTTTGCTCTGGTTATTTTGAAGATGGGGGGTTCACTCCAGCTATTTAGACCTGCTGGCCTTGAACTGTGATCCTCCTTAGTCTCTCAAGTAGCTAGGATTACAGGCGTAAGCCATCAGCCATCAGCCCCAATGCTCTTTACTCTCTTCAGAATATAGTCTTTGTTATCCTGACTTTCTCATTCACAAATTGGCACTGAGGAAGTTTCCAATCCACCATCTTACTTCAGAAACCCCTTTTTCTTTAACATTGACACAGTATTGCATTTTATGGCTGAATTGTAATTAAGTTAAACCAGTCTTATACTAACACCCATTTGTAGTGTATCTAGTCAGCTATTATAAAGATCTTTGAACCTTTGTGCTGGTGGCTCACGCCTGTAATCCTAATTACTCAGGAGGCAGAGATCAGGAGGATCAGTTCAAAGCCAGCCCTGGCAAATGGTTTGCAAGAACTTATCTCAAAAAAAACTCATCACAAAAAAGAGTGATGGCTCAAGGTGTAGGCCTTGAGTTCAAGCCCTAGAACTGCAGAAGAAAAGGTTCTGTCTTATGTTAAGAGTGTTTTTTTTTTTTTCTTACTGCATGTACCAACAAATAGAGTTGTCAGGCTTGAGGCTTTTTTGTTAATTAGATACAAATACTTTGTCAGTACATAGGAGTTTTTGTTTTGTTTTTTGGAGAGAGTTTCACTGTGTAGCCCAGGCTGGTCTGGAACTCGAAATCCTTCTATCTCAGCCTCCCAAGTGCTTGGGATTACTAACAAATCTGGCTTGTTTTAAAGCAAATGGCATAGACTTTAAACTTAACAGACTGCATTTAGAGATTGAATTTGATTTCAGTTTTGCAAACCTTTTGCTCACTTCAATTATCTGATACTTTACATGTTTCTGGAATCAAGAAAAGAATATGTAAGAGCTGAGATGTCAGTAGTTGAGCTCTGCTTTCCTGGCTCCTTTGTGATTCATTCTGGGTTCCTAAAATATGCCATAATCTGTGTGAAAAATCAGATATGTGCATACATAGCTGTAGTTAAGTGAAAAGCTTGGGCAAGAAGAGGGAATTTCAAGAAACTGGAGCAAGATCCAGAACTAGATAAAGATGGGGGAGGGTAAGTGTGCTGTTTTAGAAACAGTGATGAGATTGGTCATTTACCCAGCAGAGAGAATGCTTCTGTGAATTATTATTTAATAACTGCTATATATTGAAATCGGTATACTAGACATTTTGGGGATATGAAAGGCTCCCACTTTTGTGGAGCCTACAGTCTAGACTTGGAGTGACCCCAGCACCATGATTTATTGAGGATGAGATGTCCCAAGAGTTCTGTACACTCTCCCTTGTCCACATTAGTAGTGTTAGCCATCACCATTTCCATATATACTTCATGTTTAATTCTGAAGGTCTGAGGGTTACTAACTTTTTCTCTTTCCCTATAGTATGCCCTTCACGTGTACAATGAAGTGATGAGTGTTGGGCAGAAATACGGAATCCGGAATGCTGGGTATTATGCTCTTCGCAGTCTCCGAATTGAGAAGTTTTTTGCCTTCTGGGGTCAGGATTTAAATACCCTCACCACACCCCTGGAATGTGGAGGAGAGTCTCGGGTGAAATTAGACAAGGTACTGTGTTTATCCAAGCCCCACTTGTCACTCAGCTCCCTGAGTAGTGAGATCTGCTTCGGATAGGAAGAGTTTGACATGGAATATGAGAAGAATGGAAAATGTATCTATGGGATGAACATCTTCATATGAAACATAACACAGCAATATTTTTGAGCTCTTTCCTCTCAAAAAGCTTGAGCACTTTGGGGGAAGTTGTTCATTAGTTCATTATGGTGATTCATTAACATGCCACAAATATTTATGCAAATCAGTCATCTTCCAGTCAGGTGCCTAATTTTTTCTTAATAGATGAGCATTTTTTAGAAAACTGTTGTTCAAAGAATGTCCTGTAAAAATTGAGTCTCTTTCCCACCTTTGAACCCCACCCAATCTCTGTTCCCTTTTGTTTGAAGAAGCAGTTTCTTGTCCCTCCTTTTGGAAATGTAATGCAAGATTCCAGTGTAAAATTTCTGCTTCCCCTATTTTTAGACAGGGTCTAATGGGATTCTAAATGCCTAATGGGATTCCAGGCATAAGCCACCATGCCCAGTTCCCATTTGCACTTTTTTTCACCTATGCTGGGGTTTGAACTCAGCCTATGCTTGCTAGACAGGCACTCTACCACTTGAGCCACTCCCCGGACCCTTTTTGTGTTGGGTATTTTCGAGATAGGGTCTTGAGAACTGTTTGCCAGGGCTGGCTCAAAGGGCAATCCTTCTGATCCCTGCCTCCCAAGTAGGCTGGCTCCATCTGCACTTTTAATCTAGATGGTGCCATATTTGTGCCTTTTTTCACAAAACAACGGATGGTTTTGTTCCCTTGAGCAATTACATGTAATAATTTTTCTGTGATAAAAAAGTAACTTATTTTGGAAAATAGGAAAAAAAATTACAAAATGGCTATTTCATCTATCACATAATCACTATAAACCTTATTCTAGTGATTAAAATGTTACAAATAAAAGAAAAACACATACTTGTGTTACAAAAATTCTGTTTTCTGTATTGTGAATGCAGCTTAACACATTCCCCAAAAGCCAGCAGGAATGTGGGGGAAGGTGCTGCATTCCAATATAGTGACAGCCTTCCCCGTTCATGTCCCAGGTCAGACTACTGAGTCCATGTTTCCTTCCTTTCCCAGGGCATGGATTTCATTGGCCGGGATGCCCTGCTGCAGCAGAAACAAAATGGGGTATATAAACGCCTCACTATGTTCATCTTGGATGACCATGACACAGACCTAGATCTCTGGCCTTGGTGGGGAGAGCCCATTTATCGGAATGGGCAATACGTTGGCAAGACTACCAGCAGTGCCTATAGCTATACCCTGGAGCGCCATGTGTGCCTAGGCTTTGTGCACAATTTTTCTGAGGACAGTGGGGAAGAGCAGGTGGTGACAGCAGATTTCATCAACCGAGGAGAATATGAAATTGACATCGCAGGAAACCGGTTCCAGGCCAAGGCCAAGCTCTACCCTGTCCCTTCCCTCTTCACCCACAAGCGCCGAAAGGATGATTCAGAGCTGAGTGACTTGCATGGAGGGAAGTAATGTTAGGACACGCCCCTCTCCTCCCGATCACCTCATCCTGAGGAGCATCCCTTTCTCTGTCCCTGCCCATGCTTACTGAAGGTAACTTCACCTCCCCTCTCTTTATCTCCTTGATATAATTTTGAACTTGACCTACCTTAAAGCTTACCTTGCAGCCTTCCTGTCCTTTCAAAACTCTTCACCTTCCATTTGCTGTTGCCCTCATAATACCCTGAGCTTTTCTTCCCATCCCCCACCTGACGGGAAGTGTATCTAACAGCAGGACAGAAGCAAGCTCTATTGTAGAATTGTGTTAAGGTAACAGATTTTAAATTTGGCATCTCTAAACAGTGCAAGCTAGTGTGACACAGGCCTCAGGGCAGGAGTCCATTACTTTTCTAGGAGTAACCTGCTAATCTGATGGTAACAGCTTGTGCCTCTTAGCCAGGCAGATTGTTCTCCTATTCCACTGCTCTCTGTGGTTTAGCATCTGATACCTCTAGCAAAAGGATGATCATCTACCTCAGTATTGAGAGGCACTCATTGCATGGACGTTGTCCTGTCTGTCGCAGAAACAATTCACCTGGCACCATTCTCACCCTCCATCCTGAACTAGTTCTCAAACCTTTGGGCTAGGGCAGTTTGCCTGTAATTTTCTTATTTTTTGTTTAAAGATTATCTTTTTCCCCCCCGGGGGAGGGCAGTACTGGGGTTCAAACTCAGGCCCTCACACTTTCTAGGCAGGTGCTCTACCACTTGAGCTACTCCACCAGCTATAATTTTCATCTTTTGCTAATCTCTGTAATAAGGTAATGTTTAGTTTCCTAGTTGAGTAAAACAGGATACAGGTGTTTATGCCACTGTCAATACTAAATTTCCTAATATTGAAACAGCAGCTGCTTTTCTTTCAGCTATTCAAAGGTCATTCATTCCATCTTGATTTTTCCTCTTCACGTGACTCTTAGCCTCACCTGTGTAGTCAGACCAGAAGCTCAACATAATTTCTCTCCTTTTAGAATAGGGAGGGATAATTTCTCTCCTTTTAGAATAGGGAGGGAAAGGCTTTTTTTTGTTTTGTTTTTGAGGGGGAAGGTTTGAACACTGCTGTTCATGCCAAGTTCTGAGAGCTACCAGCACTCCAAGCTTTATGTTCCCTGGCATGGTACAAACAAAGCCACACAGAGCTGACCACTGAGCTGGTCCATTGAAAGATCTGAGTACCGTGGGTATGATAGAAGGCTAGAAGACTGCCTTTTATCTTTTCTTTCTAGGCTTTACCCCCGAACACACACCATTCAGCCATCCCTCTATCTTCTTTGGAATGGAAAATGACTTGGGGTACCCCAAAAGTGCCCTGCACCCTCTCAAGCTGTATCTGTTTTCTGAAGGTGAACCTTGTATATCACAGACTGTGCTACCCAGCCCCAACCTTTAATTTCTCTTTTGTAAAAACTGTCCTAGTATAGGTTTTTAAAAGTATAATCAAACTGTTGTAATTCAACTGTAGCCTGTGCTGTCTTGGTACCTTCAGTCTACAAGTATATTAAAGGAGAGCCTTTATTTCATTCATAGAGCAGCTTAAAATTCTCAGGTTTCTGTCATCTCTGTGGGATCTGTTACCCACTAAGTCAGACGAGCTCCTTCCAGACATTTATTGCTATTACCCCAGCTAGACCACTCCTACTTGATTACTGACTTTAGTGTCCACCTGTTTTTGGTGGGCTCTTAGTTGACTTGCTAAGAGAGCATGTAATTCTGTTTGGGTCCTTGCTCTTTTGTAGCAAATGTATATTTAACTAGCTGAGAGATGCTTATAGGCAAACAGGAGAAAGGAGGAATGGTATTGCCTCATTGGAGAGCCAAGTAAAGGAGGACTCAGGAACATGCCAAAGTCATCTATGTAAGTGAAAATTTGGAATTGAATCCAAAAGAAATTCTTGATTTAAGCATAGATAGTACAAATGTGACAATGTTTGTTAACTGTTACATAGGAAGGCTCTATTAAGTTCCAAATTGAAAAAAAAAATCACCATCTCTATAGTTTAAAAAATTGGGGAGAATCATCCTCACAGTGTATCATTCAAGTAGAAGTGTCATCAGAAGTATATTCAAGCTGGGTGCTGGTGGTTCACACCTCTAATCCTAGCTGCTTGGGAGGTTCACACTTTGAGGCCAGCCCAGGCAAATAGTTCTCGAGACCACCTATCTCCCAAATAACAGAGCAAAAATGAACTGGAGGTGTGGCTCAAGTGGTAGAGTGCCTGTTTCATAAGCTTATAGCCCTGAGTTCAAACCCCAGTCCCACCCCAAAAAAAGTATAGTTAACATAGACTTTAAGACTTGAATTCCTTTCTGCATGTATTGATCTCTAGCTAATTACTGTTTTATTAATTTGCTGTCCTAAGTAGGTGGGAAATTTGATGTGTCCAAAATCATGCAATAACTTTCTATTAAACTAGAGCTAAAAGCACTGGCCTCCTATTGATGGTAAAGTGGGGTGTGCACTCAGGCTAGGCCTTGAAGTACCTCATCCATAAGTTACATTTTTTTGACTTTGGCAAGGTACTGGTCTTCTGGGGTATCACTTGTTTACTGAGTATCCTGAAACAAATTATCTTTGGCACTTTAAATATATCTTGGAAGTCTCTCTTGGTTCATTCATACACAGGCAGTGTAAATCATATTTATTTATTTTTAATTTTTTTTTGTATTTGGTCCTAATGTGAGTGCTTTGAACAGACTCTTCCCCTGCCTCTAGCATAACCTGTGCCTGGTGTTATAAGCATCTTATGTGGTCAAGAGAGGGCAGCAGAAACTCCGTGCACTGATGAGACTTTAGAGCCTTCTGGGCTCTTCTTGAGTAGGTGCAGGTTCATGGAATCAATCTAGAGGAAATCCAGCAGGACTAAGGAAGGACAATCAAAGCATCTTCATTTGTGTGTCATTTCCATCTCAGACAGTGGGGCCTCATGGGTTCACCATGTGTGACAACTCACTCTGGGAAGCCAGATTCAAGGAACTGTGGACTTTAGCTTTAAGTGATCAGGTACTATTTTCTCTCTGAAATCCTATGTTGTCAGCTATAGTCACGATAGGGGGAAGGCTCTAGGTTCTTTTATTGTGTCAACATACTCAGTTAAATCTTTTTGAAATTGGGAACAGGAAGCATATGGGCAGTGGCAGTACTGGAAAGAATGGCAGGAGCTTCTAAAAGTATGTTTTTCCTCAATGAAGAGATGAACCACAGCTTTGATTCTGCTGTTTATTCTCTAGCTTATGGATACATTTGTTGGCATTTTGAATGTATTTTCACCGTCCATTCATGAACCCGAGACAGATAGCAGGAAATGTTCTGGGTGCTATACAAAGTCTGTAGAGCTTGCAAAAGTGAACTGTAAGGTTACCTCTTTGTTGCTTTTTTTGCTTTTTGGCCAGGCTAGTCAACAGGAGTCCTCTATAACATCTAGGACCGAGCTCTGGTTAACAATGAGTAGTAACTTTCTGCCACTTTAGTTTTCTTTTTGTATCTCCATCATATCCCCTAACAAATGTTCTTATAAAACAAGCAGCATTTTATCATCACAAGTACATTTTTCTTATAGTGGAAGAAAGATAAAGTAGTATGGTATCTGTGTGGATACTGGAATTTGTGAGCTGTGGGTCTGTCTGGCAGCACCTCCCTCCTCCCAGCTACATTTTTGGCCTCCACTTCAAGGTGCTGAGTTGTAAGCCCCCATGAGCATGTCACTGTGGGGCTTGTTCTTGCAGTTCCTTATCACTACCAGTGCACTGTTTTTCACAAGGATTAAGTATTTTTGTGTATCTTTGCCTTCTCTTTGTCCATTAAACATCAGCATTGTTCCCTGTATGATGGGATTCTTGAATTCTGAGCAAACTCTCTCTTGGAGAATTATGCATTTCTTCAAGGGCTATTTTTCTCATGCTCTTTTCAATCCTTTGCAAACATCTGCCTCGTTTTCCTGTCTTTGAAGGACAGAAACTATAAGAGAAGGGAGGATATTTTTAGCATCTGTTCCAGGAGTTCCTTTGCATACCAAGAACTAGAGCTTGGGGCATCTCTAAGCCTGGTTCTAGTGCCTTACACTCCAGAATGTCAGGTAAGTAGATAGGAAGAGTGAGAATGCAGGAAAGTTCATTTCAGTCTGTGGGTTCCCATCATTCCACATAGCCGAAACAGATGGGTGTAGGATTGAAAGTTCTGTAACTCATTTCACTTAAGGGTTTTCCAGTTCACACACTACTTTCCTGGTCAACTCTTGGGATGTATAAAAAAACCACTGTAATTATTGTAAAGTCCTGTAACACTTTATTTGCATTTGTAAATAAGGGTGTAGATCCATTGAGTCCCCTTTTGTTCCCATAACAGAGTTAGCATGTGTCCTGAGGACATTCTGGGAATAAATGGAATTGTTTCTTAAGAACCAGCTGGACTGATTTTGAGCACACAGGGTGATCAAGCATTTTGGCCCTCCACGAATACAGTATTTACATTGAGAACTGTATTTCTAGCCAGCTGGGTTTCAACTGAGATTTTTCATGTTACTAAGTGTCAATAAACAGACGTAAAACTTTTGAAATGTCCTTCGTCTGCAGGGACTTGGTACAGTAAGGAATAGAAATGACACCATTTGTGCTGGGTGCCAGTGTTCACATCTATAATCCTAGCTGCTCAGGAGGCAGATCAGGAGGATCAAGGTTCGAAGCCAGCCGGGAAAGACCCTATCTCGAAAAAACCTTCCACAAAAATAGGACTGGTGGAGTGTATCAAGGTGAAGGTTCTTGAATTTCAAGCCCCTGTTTTAAAAAAATTTTTTTTTTGTGTACAACTGTAAGAAAGGACACTGAGGTAAGGAAGATGCAGGCTGGCTGAGGAAGGAGCACCTCTCTTCCTCCTCCTGCAGTTACTACTGTCGCAGCTGTTGTATGCATCCAGGTCATTCCCAGTGTTTCCAGTAACAATTCTTAAAGGTCAAAACAACTATGCAGCTGGACATGGTGACTCCTAACTGTAATCCAACTGTTCGTGTAATCCCAACTGTTCAGGAGGTGTGGGTAGGAGGACCACAGTCCAAGGCTGACCCGTGGTAAAAAGAAACCCTGACTGGTGGGTGGCTCAAGTGGGAGGTGCCTGCCTAGCAAGCTCACTACTGCCAAAAAGTGCTAGGAGTGTGCCTTAAATGATAGAGCAACTTGCCTAGCAAGTACAAGGCTCTGAGTTCAAATCAAGCTCCAGTACCAACAAGAATAATTTAAAAACCTACTCAGTGCCACCAAGAACTTACCAAAGAGTGAGGAAAGGGAAAAAAATTAGCCACCTAGGAAGACAAGCCATTCTAAAGAGTTTACTTAAAAGATAAAGCTATCTTAGGTGAGAATGGTCCCAGAAGAGCTTTTACTTAAAGGCAGTGGGCTCTCTCCCTCCACTTATCAACCAGACAGACAAAACTTTTTAAAACCAGGCTCTGGTTGCTCATGCCTGAAATCTTAGCTACTCAGGAGGCAGAGATCAGGAGGATGGCAGTTCGAAGCAAGCCCAGGCACACAGTTCATGAGCCCTAATCTGGAAAATAACACATACACAAAAAAGGGCTGGTGGTGTGGCTGTAGTGGTAGAGCACCTGCCTAACAAGCATGTGAAAGTCCTGAGCTCAAATTCCAATACCATGGGGGAAAAAACAAAACTTTATGTTGCCTTGGTATCCACACATATATTTTTCAATTTGATTTTGGGGATTGAACCCAGGGCTCTGAGCATCCTAACCACAGCTCTACCACCAAGCTACATCTTCAGCCCCTTTCAATACCAATTTTAAGTATAATCTGGACTTTCTCATAATACAACATGGGCTCAGTCACCTTGGCAGCTTCCAGTTTCCCACATTCTCCTAGTTCCTCAATGTGGTGGGTACATTTATCTGCCCCATACAAATGCCTTCTGTTGACTATGGGACAGGAATACAGAACTTCAACTGCTCTCACTGACTCCACAGCCCACACTGACCATGCAGATATGCCACAGTGACCACCTATCAGTCACACGGTGACCACCTGGAACTTGAGCACTTTAAACTGTCAATTAGGACAGGATGTGTAACTCAGTGATAGAGTGATTGCCTAGCATGTTCAAGGCTCGTGGTTCCATCCCTAGTATTAAGGGAAACAAACAAACAAAAAACACCTTATTTCCCAAGTACCCTACGAAGGTAAACCAATCTCAGGTTTCTGCTTTTATCCTGTTACATCTGCTTTCAAAGAACAAGCCAATACTTGCATACTTTCCTGTTTCTTACACAAAAGTGTCACACATTTGTACTCTTAAGACTTTTTCTCACTTAACAATGTGTTCCGGAATCACTCCATAGTAGTTCAGACAGCTTCCTCTTTTTTTTCCTTGCATCCGTAGCAGGTTTTTTGTGTGATGTTCCACTTTACTGAACCAGTTCCCATGTGTGGACATTTAACTTTGCAGTCCTACACTTGCAATTATACAGTGCCACAACAAATCTGCATGTACATTTTTTCCCTTTCTTGTGGGGGTGGGCATCCAAGCTAGGAAAAACACTCTACACCTAGGACCCCCCTCCTTTTTTTTTCATGAGAAAAGGTCTTGCTATGTCAACCCAGCTAGGCTCAAACTTTTTTTTTTTTTTTTTTTTTTTGGTGTTACTGGGGCTTGAACTCAGGCCTATACTTTGAGCTACTCCACCAGCCCATTTATGTATGGTGCTTTTTGAGACAGAGGCTCATGGACTATTTGCCTGGGCTGGTTTGAACCTCCTGAGTAGACAGGATTACAGGCATGAGCCACCAGCACCCAGCTTGGGTTCAAACTCTTGATCCTCCCACCTTAGCTCCTGAGCAACTAGGGTCAGGAGTGTGCTACCACACAAATGCTGCATGTGTATTTCTGTACAAAACATTCTTCGATGGGAAAAATGACACCTAGAATAATCTCCTTAATATATTTTGGTTAAAGAAAGTATACCTATATAAACATACTAAAAAAACCCAGCTACATAGCAGTACCCTTTTGATAGGTATTTAGTGTGAAAGTTTTATATTTTTGTTCATATCTATTAAACTGAATATGTAATTTGTTGTTTTTTAACCTATTAAACAGAATTTTAAATGTTCCAGTGACAAAAAAATTGACATAATCTTGCTTCATCTAGTGTTCTTTTTG